GACCTGAGGACACTATATCAGATAACCAAATCTCTATCCGGGAAGAGACCAACACAAGCGAAACCTATAAAAGACAGCCAAGGGAAGCCCATTACCAAGGAAGAAAAACAGATTAAACAATGGGCGGATCACTTCAAAGGACTCTTGAACCGACCATCACCTGCAACCCGTCCAGAAATACCAACAACAGCGCGCACACAACTGCAAGTTGACACCAATCCTCCAACGAGAGCTGAAGTCTTGAACGCAATCAAACTTCTGAAAGCTGGAAAAACAGCCGGACCAGATGGAATACCCCCTGAAGCACTGAAAGCAGACCCAGAGACGACAGCAGACATGCTGACTCCATTATTGCAAAAGGTCTGGAAGGAGGGAAAGGTGCCTACTGACTGGAGGAAAGGTTACCTCGTGAAACTACCAAAGAAGGGCGACTTAGGACTCTGCAAGAACTGGCGAGGAATCATGCTCCTATCGACGCCAAGTAAAATCCTGAGTCGCATCATCCTGGAGAGATTAAAGGACGCACTGGAGACAGAACTCCGACCAGAACAAGCTGGATTCAGGAAAGGCAAATCATGTACTGACCAAATTGCAACTCTACGCATCATCATCACAGAACAAAGCATGGAATGGCAATCAAACCTCTACCTCAACTTTATAGACTTTGAGAAGGCCTTCGACAGCGTTGACCGTGAAGTAATTTGGAAATTACTCGAGTACTACGGCGTACCCCAAATATTCATCAACCTTATTCAACAGCTGTACGACAACGGCACATGTCAAGTGATCCACAACGGAAAACTCAGCGAGGCGTTTGGAGTAAACACAGGAGTCAGACAAGGGTGCTTATTATCACCAATGATATTCCTAATTGTGGTGGACTGGATTATGCGTCAGTCAGTGGGAAACGAGAAGACAGGAATATCCTGGACCGACGTGAAGAACCTAGAAGACCTGGATTTCGCGCGTGGATGATTTATGTTTGATGTCACACAAAATCGAAGACTTACAAGCGAAAACCGACAAACTGGTCGAAGAAGCAGCAAAGACAGGACTCCAGGTAAACATAGACAAGACGGAGGTTATGAAAATAACCAACCAACAACAGCAACAACATCCAACGTCAATCACCATCAACGGGAGGGATTTGAAAGAGGTTACTTCATTCACTTATCTAGGGAGCATTGTCTCAACTACAGGCGGAACGGACGAGGATGTCAAATCGAGCGAGAATCGGGAAGGCGAGAAACACATTCATCAACCTGAAATCAATCTGGAAATCTTCGTCACTCAACATCAACAACAAAATTCGGATTTTCAATACAAACATCAAGTCAGTTCTTCTATACGGATCAGAAACTTGGCGGGTCACAAAGAATATTTCCAACAGGTTGCAGACCTTTATCAACAACTGTCTTCGCTCTATACTGAAGATCAGATGGCCGGAAAGAATCACCAACAAGAAACTATGGGAACAAACAAAGCAAGAACCAATCGCCCAACAAATATGCAGGAGAAAGTGGAGATGGATCGGACACTCGCTGAGGAGACCGCTGGGTGACATCGCGCGCCAAGCCCTCGAGTGGAACCCGAAAGGGAAGCGGCGTGTGGGACGTCCAAGGGTGACATGGAGGAGATCGTGTGAAGAGGAGTTGAAAGAATATGGATTAACATGGATGCAGGCGAAAAGTATAGCAGAAGACAGAAGAAAATGGAGACGTGCAGTTGAAGCCCTATGTTCCACTAGGAACCCAAGGGAGCAATAATAATAAGGTACAGGTTTGGCTACCATTCTATGCTCTATTCGATTATGATACGTTGAGTTGCAATTTGATCCAGATATGACTTACATTCCCTGAATCCAGCTTAGTTTTGCGTGAGCAGTTCTGTATCCAGTGAATCTTTTAGTCTCTCCAGGATGACGCGAGTTAGTGCTGTTTAATTCAAACTAGGAGAACATTTTCTGAAGAAATAATTTTCTTCATAAATACTAATTCATTCACATAAACTCTTACATCTTCATTGGTAAGAAAAGCTTTATAAATGTTTATCAGACATCCAAAAATTTAACTTGGTTGTGCATTAATAGAGGTACTAAAATATTTAAATAAGAACAAATAAAAGTAATGTTTGTTTTTTTTTTTTAGTTTGATGCATAAATGATCAGAATGGAAGTGTACTTTAATTGTAATAATGACAGGTTTCCCAAGTACTAAATTTCCTAGTCACGTAAAAAAGGGGCGTGGATAACACATCTGATATTGTGTACTTCTAACAAAAATACACCAAGTTAATAGCAGTAATTAAGTGAGAACATCAAAATTAACCAGAATAGGGAAAACTGGAATAAATAAGCTTAAAATAAATAAGATTTTCAAGATTTTTGAGAAAGAAGATAAGCAGATTTTCTCTACATAATTATTTATCAGAATTCATAGTTTTTTTTTTAGAGACTGTTTCCCATCATTTTGCAAACTTAACCAAAGGTTATAGAAATCCCGACATGATTAAGGTCAAAGTGTAAGCTTTTTTTGCATTGTTGCAGTGTGTCAGGATAAGGGTCAACTTTACCTTTCTTTATCTTAATGTCATTATTAGTCAACACTGCTTCTTATAATAGATAGTAGTAGCTTAGCAAGCCTGTTGCAAAAGAGGTTCGTTTTCATTCCTTCCCTCCTGAGTGGAACGTAGGACTTCAAGATTTGAAGCTGAAATAGCGGTGGTGTTGTCTTCTTTCAATGGATGAAGTTGTTAGCCTCACATCCAATCTTCTACCTTTTCCGGGTTTTATTTCTGATAGTAAACTAGGCGGGGTGTGTAGGGAGGCACTGGTCAGAAATCGAATGTGGACCTCCCGCCTATCTGACGAGCGATCTACCATCATACCACCCACACATAACACAAGACTAATATAAACAAAACTTTTTTACTAATAAGAACCTATTTAAAATGTGCTTCCTTCTCTAGTTTAGCGATAAATTGTATTTAACAAAAGCATTACAAAGCAAATAAGTTCCACACTGTACAAGATTTTACCGTGTACTGGATCATGAATTATACTTGATGTGCAAATACTCTGCCGGTTGCCTAAACTGAATACGATGAGGCAAAGTTTGGTGTGTTGATAGTGAATTGATCAAACCAGACAGCTGTACTTTTTTGCAACCAAAACAACCACTGAAGTTACACTGGGCAAAACATCGCTTATCATAACTTTTCTCTCTAGTAGAACGCGAAGTTATTCTACGATATCAATTTCAACGGCGAAAAACTTCAGTCTCAGGTCCAGTTTGAAAATCTAATCAGCCAAACGAACGATCTCAGCCCAACTTTTGAAGGCGAATTACAGAGATTCAAGTCAACAATCATGGACTGCTGCCAACAATACTTGAATACAGGATCAAAAGTCCGCCACCACCTAACGAAGCGGCACCGAGAAGAATTAAAACAGTTGAGAGATAACAAAGATCTGCTTATAGCTCTCCCAGACAAGGGTGCTGGTATAGTGCTTCTGAATCGAAAAGACTACATCGAGAAAATGAACAAAAGGTAACTCTACATGAACTTGGATTTCAAGGGAGATTTAGCAAGCGATACTCTCAAGAGAAGGATCACATCATCTCTGAGAAGAACATCCTTTGCAGCAACGCTAAGAATAGTGTTCTCCAGTCACCCACTGATTTGCAGAAGCCTCAAGGACAAGATCCCTCATCTGGCCACTTCTATGTCCATATCTGTCAGTTCACCTGCTGCTGTGAAGCCAGATACATCCGTCGTTCGACGCCCGCCGTGTCTAAGAGGATTCAAGAACACTATCCAGCATGGTTGCGAATAGGCAGTAGGGGTGCAATAAGCTCTGCAATAATTGAATACCTGGTTAACACTGATCATTCCATTTCAACAAACGCCTCCTTCAAAGTAATCTACAGAGTCAAGAATAACCTATCAAAGGTAGTACGGTTTCATCTTCTTTGTATCACTGAAGTTCTGGCCATTCACATAGAAAAACTGGAACTGTTCATACAAAAGAAGATTACTCAACCACTTTCACTGTCATGGTAACAACTCTTTTTTTGATTTGGTTTGAGTTTGTTTTTATTTTGATGACTTAATTGTGTTTCTTTGCCTATTCCTTAATTGCTTGTAATTCTTGTATTCATTTAGAACTCTTGCGTAATTTCGTATTATCCACTTTGTTTCTATGTGCATCCTGAGTAAAACTCAATCATCAAACTATTCATATTATTACATAACTTCTTATTTAACAACTGTTTGTGACAACTCATCACCTTTGTTACTACCCTAATTTCATTAACACCTAATTTTCTTGATTTGTATTACCAATCTTCACCTGTTTAGTTAAAATAACCATAACCAATTGTAATTTTGTTTGACAAACTTAATGTACACATACATACAAAATAACCTATATATATGTATTTGCTATTGTACAGCTAAGAAGATGAATTCGCCGAAAAGAGACTCTTCACTGATCTACGTGTTTTGTTTTCATTATTGCCTGGATGGGGATTATCCATGAATTAAAACACCTGAAACACAGACTTACTTCATACATCTTACATCCCAACCAAGTATACAATTATCAAAGGCCAGATAAGAGAAATGCGCTGAACAGTAAGAAATACGAAATGAGAATTGACAGATTAGAAACTAAGTTGTACACCGGTTGTTGCATTTACAGTTTTAATAGACTGATGCAGAACCACAGCCATTCTGATTATTATTATTAATTCACTTAGATAAATGGGTATGTGCTCTCCTTGTAACCAGAAGGTCCTAAATTCGAAACTCGGCGGGTGCGTGCTGATGAAGAGTCTCAAAGTGGGATGAAATAGCTGCCCAGTACTCCTTCGTTAAATTGAGTCAATGATTGGGCAGTGGAACAATCCCCAACTCCGCACGTTGTCCAGGGTTCTACCCCAGGCTGATTCACCCCCTACTTTCACCTAGCCGGTAGTAATCCAAAAGCAATAACTTACTTGAACTGCATGAAAAATTAAACGTTGATTCCGTTCACAGTCTGTCTGTCCGAATGACTGTAAACGACGCATACAGCTAACACGGAGATTTGTGAATAAATCATTATATTGACTGACTAATGGTGAAAGCCAACTCTGTAAAAGATCTGTTGGATTTAGAGTAGAAGTTTGGCCACCATTTGTTGAAATTTTTGCAACATCTCTATCACAAGTGTATCTAGTTGAACGATCATATGAATTCTCACTTTTTTGATAGTCATCTTCACCTCCAAAGGAATCGCTAAAAAATAAACGACATTTAGAAATGAAAAGTACAAAATATTTTTAAAAATAAGCAGTTAAAATTACTACTTTCAGTGACTTCTGGGTGGAATACAAAAGCTTATGCATTTCAACATCTGTCTAGATTGATATAATCGTAAAACGAGAACTTGCTTTCAGCTATTTTTTTTATTTCCTTCACGTTCCCAGTGGAACATAGGGCTTCAAGCTGGAGGCTTGAAGTTTCTGTAGCAGTGTTAATTTTTAAGTGATGGGTAGCTAGCCTCATGCCCAACCTTCTCTCTTTGCCAATCTTATTTCTGCATAAGTGAGGTAAAGGAGTGCGTCGGTGGCCGGGGATCGAACCCAGGACCATGTGCATGATCGGCGAGCATGCTAACCGCCGTGCCACTGACGCACTGGCTCCCATGGTGGCCAAACAAAAACATGGTGTCAATCCATGAAATCCTTGACAGTTAAACTGAGTCAGGTAGGGAGATGCAGACTCCCGGGTTGGGGCCCTCAGGACTGACTCCAGGAATCAATGGCTGGAGACAATAGGTGACATGGCTCAAAATCGTTGTCAATGGCCAGCGTAGATGTATTCAGTCTCTGTAATCTTTCATATTCCTTTATACCATTACCCATTCTGTTTCACTCTTATACTTGTGAAACTCTATTAATTCTCTCCACTCATCTTCTTGTCTACCTTTGTATGCTTTTAGGAACGTGTCAACTCGAACTGCTGCACTTCGGTGCCAAGTTCTATGTTGAATCCAGACAGACAGACTGGCTCCCGCGCCGGGAGTCGAACCCGGGCCACCTGGGTGAGAGCCAGGAATCCTCACCGCTGATTTCAGCTATAACTCATTGATTTTGTAAGATAAGTCGTCTAATAATAGTTAGATCACTATGAGCTGAAAACATGGTAATAACATCTGAATAAAACTAATATAATGATATCATAATTTACGTGTTGCCATCAAACACTACTGCATATTCGCCGAAACGTTTAATATGCTAGGGATGTAAATAAATCATCAAAAGAGAATTAGAAATGAGAAACCGTCATTTAAAATATTAATTACACTAGAATGGGATACTTAAGATGACTTTCATTTTTCTTCCATGCACTATTTGTTATGCATATCAAGTTACCTACATCCTCTCCGTTCCCATTATGTTTTACAGTAATGTGAAATAATAGGGTGTTGTTCTTCTTGTCTAGTTAGGAATTTATATAAATGTCGGTGTTTTTTTTAACAGTCTTTAATCTCTATGCCTTATCATACAGGACATTTCTTTTGTTTTGCTTAAACTTCTATACTTAGCAATACAAGTATGCCTATCGATTAAAAGACACCTGCGTTCGGGCAGTAGTTCTCTCTATCCACCTTTGTGGCTATGTAACACATCCCCACTGAAAGTGTTTAGATGTGAAAAGACTAGCTGTTGTCTTTGGTCATAGATGTCTGCATCCCACCTCTCTTATTAAGTGGTATAGTGTGACGGGTAATCTTGGGGTTAGATGTGGACAGTGTTAGGTAAAGAAGATATAAATCAATCGATGATGTTCTGAAGCTACATCGACTTAGATAGCTAGGACACTTGTTGCACATGCCAAGCCATCGTCTTCTTCGACTGGTAGAATTAGCTAACATTAAATTAGGTTGGAAAATAGTAAGGTATGGTCAAATCAAAACTTCATATCAGTTCGTTTAAGTCACGTAGGAAGGTGCACACTGTCCAGCTGGGTTCCTTAGGATGTTACGAATCAAAAAATGCGAAAGAGTAGTGAAGTGTGGATCGAAATCAGTGTCAGTCACTCTTTGTAATCTCCCATATCTACCGAACTGTCATGTGTTTATTTTCCACGTTACTATTCTTTCTCTCTCTCTCTCTCTCTGCCTCTTTCTTGTCTACCTTTGTGTGATATACATGGAGTGTAAGAATTTGACCTGGTGCACTTCTGTGCAGAGTTATGTGTCGAAACTCAGTATATATATATACAATTACCAATCTCATTTTATCTTTTTTTTTCTACAATTTGCACCAATAAGTACAATTTTTACAGTTAGCCAGATGTATGTGGTGATTATTCTGTGTTGTCTAAAAATTAGTAATAATGCAAATAAATTTTTTCATTCGTTACAATATAAACAATTGTAGTTCACATATTAACTAGTTACCTAAAGGTAACTAAGCAAATTTTAATAAATCAATGAGAGAGAGAGAGAGTATTTATTCATGAGTCAAAGAGTCTATTTGATAAAGTTACAAACTTTGAAATTGAGTGGCATAAGTTTAAATGTGGAAATAAATTCAATTTACTCAAGTACTGGTTTGTAGAGATTTGGTTGATTGGTTACAGGATTTCATCATGAGTTGATATTGGTTAGAGAACCATTGGAAAACCTGCAAGGAGTACTGGACAGCTGTTTCCTCCGTCCTACTTTGGAACTCTTCATTAGTATGCACTCACCGTGGTTCGAACCCAGGACCTTCTGGTTACAAGGCTAGCGAGCTCGTAGACTATTAAGTCACTGGGACCCAATCCAATGGCCAACACATGAATTCTAACTTCTGCCAATTCACAATATAGCGCAACCGCTAGCCAATGTCTTCAGTGAGTATTTGTGCCCACACCCGACCTGCTGCCCCCTAGTGGTCTCGACTTCCCACTGGAACTCCAGGTAACTAACTACCTGAATAGGGCCAGTCACCAGTGAGCATCTCATTGATATTCAAGTACTGGTTTGTAGAGATTTGGTTGATTGGTTACAGGATTTCATCATGAGTTGACATTGGTTTTCCAATGTTTCTCCAACCAATGTCAACCCATGATGAAATCCTGTAACAAATTCAATTTACGTTAGGCAATACAAAATGCTGAATTGTAATCAGAAATAAAATGGAAAAAGAAGAAAAGCAAGAAGGATATTTGAATTTACTTCTGAAAAGTGTGATAATAAATAGTAACTCTTTTTTTGTTGTTGTAAGTCTAACCAAGACTTTAGTATAACACTTTAACAAGTGATTAAAAGACATTTTTAGATGAGTGTTTTAAATTTCATGAATTGAACTACTATAAATCATATCTTCAATTTTGTGGTGATATAATAGACAAACAAGTGTTTTTTTTTATTGAACACTGGTCAGTAACTAGTTTAATATGTATAGTCCTATCTTTGATGCAGACTGAATTCTATCAGTCAAGTTTGCAGTGTAGCCACAATGTTAGGTGGTTCGCCATCACTATTTGCTTTGAATTGTTGATATTAGACGGTTGGAGGCAATCGTTAGAGAACCTTGCCCAACCTGCGTTTCGTCTTAGTTGGCAGTCAGCAAGGCGTATCCACAACCTTGAAGGAGCTCGTTTCACTTCTGAGACTAGAACCCGCATCACCTAGTGAGTGCTGCAGTCATAGGCGGTACCACTGAGCTATTTGTGCTCGCGATTGACCTCCTGTAGGACTGATTGTATTGGATATTCTTGAATGGACACTAGTCAGTAACTAGTGTAATATGTATAGTCCTATCTTTGATTCAGACTGAATTCTAGCAGTCAGTTTTGCAATGTGGGCACCATGCTAGGTGGCTCATCATCACAGGTGTAAAATAGCTTCCTATGAGTCAGTGACATTCAAGAAAATATTTTTTTTATTCCTCCACGTCCTCGGTGGAACATAGGGCTTCAAGCTAGAGGCTTGAAGTTCCTGTAGCAGTGGTGTTTATTTTTTTAACGAGATGGGGTTGCTAGCGTCATGCTCAACCTTCCTTCTTTGCCATTCCTATTACTGGCTTAGCAAGGTATAGGAATGTGCCGGCCGAGGATCGAACCCATGAACACTTGCATGGCTGGTGAGCATTCTACTGCTGTACCACCGACGTACAAGAAAATATGCATTCTTCTTAGCCTCCTGTTTTTATTGTACATTAAGGGGGCTTCAGTTAATACTAGACATATTAGCCGATGTCTTCTCAATGTATAACTTCAAATATAAATTCACCAAGGAATGTTTAATGTGATGACGAATTGTTTTCGAACGCATAAAGGACGCATCGATCTCTGCAAATAAGGGCTTCAGGGCATATTCCTAAATGGCTCCAGAAACAAATGGAATCATCAGAACCTATTAACCGTGAGAACAGGAGACCTAGCTCCCCTATTGCGAAACATATTGCAGAGACAGGACATAAAATTGATGTTAACAGATCTTTTAAACCTATCTATAAAACGTGTATGGGGCGTATCCTAAAGTTTGTGGAAGCCCTAGCAATTAGAAAGTTCAAGCCACTTTTATGCGTTCAAAAATACAAATTCAATAAATTTGCGGAAGAAGGATTTCATCATGAGCTGACATCAGTTACAGAACCACTGGAAAACCTGCACAGAGTACTGAACAGCTGTTTCCCCTGTCCAATATTCTTAGGCTTCCCAGTGGTTCTCTAACTGATGTCAGCGCATAATGAAATCCTCCATCCAATCAAACTAAATCCCTACAAAGTCAATACTTGAAAATATGTGAAAATCCCTAAACACCCTGTAAATGTGAATTATACAGAGAAGAATATTTGTAGCAATGATAGCCATTTTGTTTTCAGGCGTCAAATTTCTTAACCAACAACAAATACTCTCTCTCTCTCTCTCTATTCAACATTAAGCTCTTTTAAAAAGGTGTGAAAAAGTACTTGAAATATAAGGGAGAGTTCTACTTTTTGCATAGATTAAATAACAGATGGTATGAAGCGAACATAAATTAGATGACGTAACCACAAAATATTTTAAAAACAATGAAGAGGTAGTGAAGAAAATTAGCATAAAACTACTTTTAAAAAAAAATTGTGTTGTCACAAAATCAAATGACTTTGTATTGAAAGTTAATTATGAAATGATAATAATAATAATAAAAAGAAGAAGAAAATTGTGATATTCTCGTGATATTTGTATAAAATTTGTACTGCATTGTAAATTTGACATAAGTGCACCAGAGATATGTTTGCTTAAAGTTTCAACGGTACTAAGAATGCCTATTCTATTCACACAGCCTATCAGTACATCCAACATAGTACATTATTAAGACAATCTACTTCAAATGTAGCCGTAAAAAGGAGTGATTTTTTAAATAGGTATTTCTGAGTAAAGCTGTAACGGTAGAAAACCAAAAATTTGGTAAAAGTCTTGATGTTACAGCATTATATACTTCAATTAGTCTAAAACTAGCAACAGAAACTATGCAACAGTTACTCTGTAGTGATGAAAACATAAAAACGCAATGTTCAACTTGCATAGAACTCATGGAAGTATGCCTTACAACATACTTCCAATTCAATATTCAAATATATGAACAGATAAAAGGAACACCAATGGGATGATCGCCCATATCAGGATTAATAGCTGAAGCCCTCATGCCAAGATTAGAATTCATAGCTCTACCTATAATTGAACCGTAAATCCGGGTGCGTTACGCTGATGAGACATTTGTAATAATTAAGAGAAATGATTTAGAATATACCCACAAATTAATAAACAACATATTTGAAGACATCAAATTCACAAGAGAAGAAGAATTAGAGATAACAAAATCCCATTTTTAGTTGTCTTAATCAGGAGAACCAACACAGGAAATTTAGAAACACAAGTATATAGAAAATCAACGCACACAGATCGAATACTCAACTATACTAGCAATAATCCAATTACACACTCACTCACAAAAGAAACTGTGTGCAGACATCGTTTAGAAGAGTTCAAATACATTGTAGCACTCCAGAGTTGAAAAGAATGGAAGAAAAACACTTACAAATGGTCTTCAAAAAGAATGGTTATCCACAAAATTTCATCAAAAAGTGTTTAAAGTCGAATCAAAACACGAACAAAGAACCATCATCAGAGACCAAAAAGAAATTCATCCCACTATACATGAAAAATATCTCTGAAATAACGGGTAGAATAATGAAACCGTTTGATATAGATATAGCACACAAGCCAGTTAAATCACTTAATTCGATATTATGCTAACCGAAAGATCCAACAGAAAAAGGAGATAAAATTAACACCATTTACAAAATAAATTCCGTGTATGAACTGTAACAGGCATTACATCGTCCCCTTCGAATCAGAATCTAGGAATGCAAATCAGTCGTGAAAAGACACGATATATATTCCTGTTTCATATCAATGTATATAGACAATTATGGACATCAATTTGATGATTGGGATAATGTCAAAATCTTAGACAGAGGAAACACCAAAAGTGCAGTCAGGGAATTCCTAGAAGCCTGATACTCAAATGAGTATGCAATTAACAAACACGTTAATATAGACGAAATATACCAACTAATAAAAAGTAAATAATGTGACCAGAAAGTTTAAAATCCAAGTCAATAGAAAACGGTCAATACATATCTAAAGGCGGTTACCGGGAGACACAATTATATCACTCATGAAGAAATTTAAATCATTTCACTTTATCCTAAATACTGCGCTGAAGATGTCGTCCAGAAAGACGATGAAAGCTTCGCAACGAAATCAACCAGCTCAGAGAACACTATTAATTGCAAAAGTCTTCCGTGTTGGCCTACTTCTACCGTTCCTTCATATTACTTTTCTTTGTGTTCTCTTCACGTCTTCTGTGTTTCTCCTCAACGCTAAATCATTTGCTTTCTCTGACTTCATCAAATCTGTCTCCTTGCTGTTTGATATTTTTATGCCGATAAGGGTTTCTTTACATACTACTGATAAATGCTATGAGTAGCACACGCCACAAAGCAAGAAGAACACACTGAACAGACTAAAACGGCATCATTGTTAATCCTGTTCAATATGTTCTTCTTTCTTTGTTCAAATTGATCAAGGGAAATAATCGCATAACATTTCTGAGTAGCTAACTTCAAGTTGCAGATATAATCATATTACATGTGTGTCCCTGCAAAATAAAAATCGTAATCAATAGAATAAATAGATAAAAGAGTTGATGCCTATTCAGTTTTTATAAAAAAAAATAGTAAACTTCATATTTCTTACTATGAAGTATTTGCAGGCAGTCTAGCATTATAACATGTCGCAGACTGATTGAAAACACTTTCAGTATCTATTGTAGGTCTTGGTCTCTTCTGAGTTGAATAAACTGATTTGTTTTCAATTGTTGGTTGAATTAACTCCATACTTTGAGCTTTCAATTGGCTTGCAAGTCTATCACATTGAATCTGGCTTTGAATCAATCTGGTAAGCGAAACAAAAAGCAAAATTCGAATACACTAATGACTGTTTTAGCAAAGGAAAAAAAAATATTTTTAGGCATTTTAAATAGATTGATTTGACAAATCATTTCATTTTGCCGAAAGTGTGAATCACATGAACGTTTCAAATAAGTTCATGACTTCATTTGATGCAACCTCCTTGTTCACAACGATCCCACAATCAATGAAACCATTGAGATCATTTGTCAACGGTCTGATCTTTTCTCACTACCAGAGTCAGAATTCAAATGTCTACTGTTAATGTGTACCATGGGTGTACAATTCCAGTTAGACAACACTCTTTATCGACAAATATATGGTCTAGCTATGGGCAGTCCATCTAGCCCTGTTTTAACAGATATCTTCATGTCAAACCTTGAGAAAACAAAGTTGAAGCATGCGATTGACCAAACAACTTCCTATTGTCGATATGTTGATGACACATCTTGTAGTGTGTAACAACGAAAGTCATGCTTCCTACCTACTCAAACTATTCAACAACGCACATACAAATATTGTATTTACTATGGAACATGAAAATGATGGAAACTTCCATTTCCTTGACATGGCCATGCAACGCCTAGAAGACAGTAGTCTTCAGAGGTCAATTTACCGAAAGCTGACATGAAATAAACAATACTTACATTTTAATAGTTTTTGTCCAGTTTACTATAAACGAGCACTAGTCAAGACTCTGTACAATACAGCGAGGAGAATATGCTCTGCAGAGAAACTAGAGGAAGAATTTACGATTCTCAAAAAGGTGCTGAAAAACAACGGTTATCCTCAACTATTCATTAACAAATACGGAAGATGTGAAGGCTCAAATACCAAACAAATCACAGTTGAAAAACCGACTGTCTTCATTCAACTAGATTTTAATGGTGAAAACATTGCAGAAATGGTCAACAGAACGCCACTAGGCCGAGCCTATCCTGCAATCAAACGTCGATAGATACCCTTCTTATGTTAACTTGAACTGTGTATACAAATTTACGTGTATCTGCGGGAGCAGTTACACTGGGAGAACAGAAAGAATGGCACACCTTCGATTTTCTGAACATGTGCCGAAAAGCCTACGTCTCAAAGGAACAAACTCTTATAGTAGCCCTACTACGAAACATCTCCTCAACACGGATCATGAGGTGGGAATCGAAAAATCTTTTAAAGTTATCAATAGACAAAGGAACTCCATTCTCCTCAAGTTTGCCGAAGCAATTTCTACCAATCGCTTGAAACCAGATTTATGTGTTCAGAAAGAAGGAGTTATTAGTCTTTCCTTGCCTATCTGGTAACTGGGTATCTTTATTCTCTCGTCTGATTACGCAATCTTTGTCCTTAACCTCACCCACTTTTATAATCTGTAATTTTGTTTGTCTCTTGTTTCTTTGATTTGAGCTGAACTCAGTATATTGTCAACTAATTTATTAGTCACTCAGCATGTTACGCATCTCTCATCTTTATTACCTAACTCCTTTACCAATGTAAGCATACGTTTATTTTGTTTAAACTTGAACTGCCTGTGTAAAAACTGCATAAGTGTAATTTTCTGAGCACTGTTCACTAAGTCCGGGACCTCGTGTCAACTGACGTCATGTAAAATGTGCAAGTATGTTAAAACTTTTCTGTACGTAAACCTCATAATTTATTTAGCTTGAAAGCAGATGATGAGAAGCCAACCAAATAGATGATGGTACCATGTTATTCTGCACAAACCTCTACTGTTGTTCTCGCTTTATTCAAATTCATATTCTTGACATGATCAGGTGAAATAAACTACGCCTTGAACACCACCGATACGATAAACAGCGCTGTATCAGTGAGTACTGTGCAAAGCAAGTGTATCTTACGTCGAATTACATTATAACACACTGACCAAGTTACTGTCTTATATTTATGTGTACATTTCAAACACACAGCAAATAAATGTATCAATATTCAAGTATTGGTTTGTGGGGATTTGTTTGATTGGTTACAGGATTTCATCATGAGCTGATATCAGTTAGAGAACCATTGGAAAACCTGCAAGGAGTACTGGACAGCTGTTTCCCCCGTCCTAGTTTGGGACTCTTCATTAGTACGCACCCACCGGGATTCGAACCCAGGACCTTCTGGTTACAAGGCTAGCGAGCCCGTATACCATTAAGCCACTGGGACCCGATCCAATGACCGGCCCATGAATTCTAACTTCTGCCAGTGGGAAGTCATGACCAGTAGGGTGCATCAGGTCGGGTGTGAGGACAAATACTCGCCGAAGATATTGGCTAGAGGTCGCACTATGTCGTGAATTGGCAGAAGTTAGAATTCATGGGCAGGTCATTGGATCAGGTCCCAGTGGCTTAATGGTCTACAAGCTCGCTAGCCTTGTAACCAGAAGGTCCTGGGTTCGAACCCCGGTGAGTGCATACTAATGAAGAATCCCAAACTAGGACGGGGGAAACAGCTGTCCAGTACTCCTTGCAGGTTTTCCAATGGTTCTCTAACCAATATCAACTCATGATGAAATCCTGTAAATGTAATAATAACTTGACAGACGGAGAATTCATACAAAATCAATTGATGATCAACTGTTATTACCTAAAGTACAATATCAAATGGAGTACTACTGGACAGCTCCTTGATTTCAGTCTCATATTCTTCAGTCGTTCACATGAAAGCCTAAATGTCTAGGCATACCTTCTTTCGATTGGAATGTTAACATGTAACCGTTGTTCAATCCATTTATTTTTATAACAGGTAACATTAATGTAACACTCGCATAACTCACCTTTCTAAAATTTCATTTTCTAATCTAGGCACATCTTTCGGTGGACCTGATGTATTTTGAATTTCTTTTTTCTGTGGAGAAGTATGCATGCATGATTGGAATTGTTGTTTTTGAATTTCACGTAGAACATTATTCGTGAAGTTTGACACTGGGTAGGAATAATTTCCATTGCAGCAAGACGTAACAACTGGTGTCTCAATAGCACCGCTACCTTGATGAGGTTTACTGTTTTCTGTGGAAAAACTACCTAAAGAGCAAAAGAAAAAATTAGTATAAAAAGTTCACAGCATGTTCATACAAGAAAAAGTATCCCTGAACATAACATCCTTTCATCCTTGTATGGTATTAAATGTGATTTCTTCCAGAGATCAAACATCCTTATGTTTTAGAAGTATTTATCACGAGAAAAACATTTAATTTCACTGTATATGCCAGTGAAATGATTATTTATTATTATTATATTATTGTTCCCTTGGGTTCCTAGTGGAACATACGCCTTCAACTGCACATCTCCAATTGCTTCTGTCTTCTACTGTACTTTTCACCTGCATCCATGTTAGTCCATACTGTTCCAACTCCTCCTCTTCACACGATCTCCTCCATGTCACCCTTCCACTGACGTCCCACTCGCCCCTTCCCTTTCGGCCTGGTTCCACTCGAGCAATGGCCTGACGCGCACCCTATGTCACCCAGCGGCGGCGGCCTCCTCAGTGAGTGTCCAATCCATCTCCACTCCATCTCCTGCATATTTTTGTTGGTTAGCGATTGGTTCTTGTTTTGTTTGTTCCCATAGTTCCTTGTTGGTGATTCTTTCCAACCCGGCCATCTGATCTTCAGTATAGAGCGGAGACAGTTTTTGATAAAGGTCTGCAACAGGCTGTTGGAAATATTCTTTGTGACCCGACCGCCAAGTTTCTGATCCGTATAGAAGAACTGACTGACTTGACGTTGTTTGTATTGAAAATCCGACTGGATTTTGTTGTTGATGTTGGCTGAGTGACGAAGATTTCCAGATTGGTTCCAGGTTGATGAATATGTTTCTCGTAATCTAGGCGAGGTTCAGTGAAATGATACTGCCTGAAAAATATTAACCCCTCTTTCTAATTGAAAACTCAAACTGTATGAAACGCCTGTTTAAGTAGACTGAAGATTTTCATGCTACTATCTGGTAAAAATCAACCTTTTCAAATTAGAATCTGAAATTTTTTTTCTTATTATCTTCGCTTCATCAGTAGATTAAACTGAAGTAATTAACGGAATTTTACTGGAGCATCTAACTAATTCAACTACTGATTAAAGATTGGCGGTTTGCTTAAATTTGGGCCACCTAAAAATCCCATCAGTATTTCATAGGTATTTTCTCCAGTGCATTTTGTTTAAATCTGATAAAATATGACCTCTAATTACGATTGTACTCTGAAGAGTATCTAATGTGCTTACAACTTGCTGATTCGCAAGTTTCTAGTTATCATGAGAAAAAAACATAATCTTGTATTGGGGCATATTGCAATGCAAGAGATAGGTGTACTTGGGTTGTATCCTTGTTTCACAGAATGAATTCATGAACATTTTCTAATTGTCGTTCAACCAGATGACATACATTTACCGGAAAAGACAAAGGAGAGACATCCTAATTTCTTGATATACACTTCACGCCAGGCAGAAGTGTTTCACTTCGTCTACCGTCATGTGATACTTTATTTTGAAGATCCTTGATGAAGAGAAAATATCATGCAATAAACTCTGCAGATCTAACATCTGCATATTTCCTTTTGACTTAATCTCAGCTGTTTGTCTTTGTTTTTGTTTGATCCCTAATTTTAACGCTTTTCTTTGCTGTTGTGTGATGGTGTTGATAATGGATTACGTTACGACTTCAATTTTGTCTGAGTAAAGTCAGAACTAATCCATGGAGTGACTGACAGCTTTACTTTGCACTATCTGTGGAAAAGTGTTTTCTCTGTTTGATTCTTATATACAGGCGGAGTTTTAATTCCACCTTTTTGGGCATATTCTTATTGATTTTCAAGTAATTTATAATGTTCGGCAAGTCTAACTGTCCCTGTTCTACTAGCCTGACCTATGTATTTGACCTGACAATGATTGCAGGGTATTAGATAAACTAGCAAAACCCAGCAAAAGCTAGATTGGTTGACTCGAATAAGATAAGAAATGCAGAGAGTAGTTCAGCTATAGCACTCACTACATGCAGTTGCACACAACCACGCAATAGGATGGATGGGATAGGATGACAGTTTTAAAATCTAATGTCACAGGGGGGAGGGAGAGATTGATAATAATAATAATAATAATCACATAACAGAAGCTTTGTTTATTGAACCAACTGCAAATACGTGTAGTAGGAATGATTCAACACCTGTGCAGCCAGATATCTGAAAAATTCTACTCCCCCAATGACGACAAATAGGAGAAGACAAGGAAAACTATAAAACTCAAGTTTCGAAGTCGAGTGATTATAATTGATGGCATGATTATGAACAATAAATTTTGTTCGAAACCTCATCCAGTAAATAATACTGTTTCTTCACTGTGTGATACATCTAATAAACAAACTAATATGGAATTACTTACTGCCACAGTGCCCAAGTTTTACACATATATTAATGTGCTTTGATATTGTTCGAATAATTTTGGACTGTGTAGGACTTAGCTATACAGGAGAACATATTAATTAGCTCCTGAGCTCAGACCGAAGTACATGAGTTTTGGTCAGTACAATATGTTTCACTCAAACTGAGAGATACTGACAGATATTAACTTCTTTCAAATAACAAAAATACACAATTAATACCTTAGACAGCATTATTCAATGCATCATATTTAAATTCACTACTCTTTACTTCACTCTGACAGTGACAATTTGAAGTGAATGAAATAAAGCTGAAACTTGATCACCATTTAGACCGTTTTAAATCGGCCAATAAAAAAAATGTAGGCAAGTAAACCAGAGACTATTGACTGACATCCTGTAATGAGAAAGGGTTCGGCTTCTAACTTCAGTGATCCAACTAACACACAAACATAAGTCTAACGTATTAAGACTTTTCTATACGGTCTTATCAATAGTGTAATTTTTATTAAAAAATGATCTCCTTCACTTAAAATAGAAAAAACCTTCCAACAGAAATAATGGGAACAGTACTTAAGGCGTGACTCCTATTCACTCATTTTTTTAAGTGATTAAGATATTTACACAGTGGGTGATTTTACATTCTTGATGACTGAATGAAAACATCCACCTATGCAGAAGAGCCGTTAAATATTTACCAGTTCAGAGTCACCTTTTCAAAATTCCTTTGTGTTCCGAATGGAGTATAAAGCTTCAAGTGTGAGCTCAAGGTTTCACTAGTAATGATGTTTTCTTTTATTGGGTAGAGTCGCTAGTCTCAAGCCTAACCTTCACACTTTACATGGCTTACTGAGGGCTACATGAGGTCTAGGAGTGAGTCTTTCAAAAATCTAACACCAGACCACCTGAGTGATTGGCCAGTATCATACTACTGAATCAACGACACTTAGATAGTAAAGTATATATATATATATATATATATATGTTTCTAGGTATATATGTATTCAAGTGTATCCTTAAATATAAAATTTTACTGCAGAAGTATGCTATTGTTAATTTATCACGTTTTACTCCGATAAAGTATCTTCAAGACAATTCTGAACGTGTGGGAGAATGAATGGCTGAAACCCATTTCAAAGTAAATTCCCCTCTTAGATAATTAAGCTGGAAATTTCCACATGAAGGCTTATTTGAGACAAATGTATGACCCTTATTTCACTTTACTAGTTCATTAATAGAAATATGATATCGTCCCTCGAAATGGAATAAAAGCTTTTGGACAAATCATCATAAAAACCAAGTATTTTGAACAAAACAATAGTCTAGATAATTTTATGGCATTTTCACTCATTAAAACTAGAATAAAATCAATTACACATGTTTTTTGTTAAATAACGGCCCGCTATGCTTCGTTGCCATGTGAGCTAAGTTTGAAATGATTATTTTGTCTAGTCCACCTTACATTATTGATTAACTACATCTCATCAATAAATAACATTAGTGTATGGACAATCTTTAAATTATCTGATAGTTCCATGTGTTCACCGACTACGAACTAATATCAAGTTTCAAATATGTTTTGGAATATTCTTAGAATGTGAATAATGCTTTTCTACTGCTTGGAATTTATCCTGATCAATAATGCAAGTTGTTTGAAAATGAATCAAGTAATAAACGCAATAACATTTGATTAGTCATAACTGTGGAGTCCTCAAAAATAAACTTATCCAACTTTTACTACTATGTGAGAAATGAACATATTGTACATTACTTTGTTTTAACCAGAATTTCCGTACTTTTGTACGTAACCTCGTTGTTTGCAAGATAATACAGTCCTGCATACATCTCTCCGTCTTCTACACCAGCTCAACTGCCATCAGCCGATTTTGATTACCTACCTCCTATCACAAAATTTCGCAGGAATGCCGTATTTTCTCCCTACGTTACCTTGGCAGACCTCTGGCAATACTGATATTGGAGAATTAAGATTGGAGCAGCCTTCGCACAATACTTCTGGAGTCTACTAAGTTAGTTGTGGATTTGAACCTTGTAATAACCTCAAGTAACAAATTTATATATATATATATATATATATATATATATATATATATATATATATATATATATATATATTCTTCCAGTGACTTTACGGATTTGGTATTTTTATTTCTATTCGAATTTGAGATGTTAAGCTAGCAGAGTCTAAGGCCTCCCACATAACTTGATTAACATCGATAACAAAATTATTTGAGTATGGAAAAAGGAAAGCATTTTTCATTAAGAAAGTAGAATGTTGGAAAGCGGAAGAAATCAAAATTTATATGAATGCATGTTCTATATAAGCGATGACGTGTGCGTCCATGGTTCAGGAGTAAAATGCTCGTAAACCAAACGCACACACGTGTTCTAGGTTCGATTCCCCTGCGACATATCAATAAACATCCTTTTGTTGGTAGTGAGCCTGGTAAAAACGGAAATTTTTGCATGTGGCTAGCAACTTCACTGCCAGTGAAACTTCAGAGTTCAAGCCTGAAGCCCTATGTTTCAGTCAGAACGCAAAGGAATGAGTAATATATAATAATATATGACTTGAGATACAATCGTAATTTAATATTCCCAATGTAACTTGACTGTAAGCTCAGTTTCAATGAATTAAGTGCGTCGGTGGCACAGTGGTTAGGACTCTCGCCGACCATGCACATGGTCCGAGGTTCGATCCCCCGCCGACGCACACCTAATATCTATGGTCGGCCTGTGAAATCTGGGCTACCGATATCCATGCTGAAAATTCCATACTTGTACCAAAAACAGAGTGTGGAATCAGGCTGTAATCAAAAAAAAATAAATCAATCAACCCAAAAGTTTACCCACTTATCTACTGTTGTTTTTCAGCTTTTGGATTGTAATTCAATAAGAAATAAGCGAAACTTTAACCGCAAACAGGTAGGCTAATGAAAATAGTAATAGAATCATTTTGGAACCATAATGGTGGAGTGGCGAAAATGAGAAATGGTAAAATCTAGCTTTTTTTAAACGGCTTGATTCCACACAGTACTTTTTGGTAGAGGTATGAAATTTTCAGCATGTCATATTGGTAGCCCAAATTTTGCAGGCCGACCATAGATATCAGTTGTGCGTCGGCAGGGGATGGAACCCCTGACCATGTGCACGGTAAGCAAGAGTCCCAACAACTATGCCATCGACGCGCACAAAATGAGCTTAAAGACCGACTCCACAGCTTTCTAGATTGTTCGCTTAATACAAATATATGAACGGCTTGAATTAATAGCATGATTCCCGGTGTTGTCTATTTATAGCGAAAGATGTGTTCAGTAATGCATATTTTTGAAATGATATTTCATCGATACTACCATGGTAGGTCACATTTTTAAAGTCTTCTGCAGTATTTCCAGTTACATACTGTAATAACTGGGAAAAAGTTACTATGTTTAGGAATTTCGGAAAAGCTGTTATGAAGTGTTATTTTAAATAAATTTTTATTTATCTTTTTTTATTTTGATTACAGCTTGATGCCACACTTTATTTTTGGTACAAGAATGGAATTTTCAGCATGGATATCGGTAGCCCAAATTTTGCAGGCCGACCATAGATATCAGGTGTTCGTCAGCAGGGGATCGAACCTCGGACCATGTGCATGGTCGGCGAGAGTCCTAACCACTGTGCCACCGACGGAGCAAAGATAATGTTGTGTTGTGGGTTTCAAATCGGCAGAAGTAGGAATTGAGTATTGTGAGGAGGGAGAATATCAGATAGGACTAGGTAATCTGGTGTAGCATGCAAAAATCAATTGTGAAATAACAAACGATGACTCCAATACAATAAATGTTAAGCGATGATAATCTAGCGAAAGCGTTCAGCGTGATGGTGCCGAATTAGATAACAAGTGAAGGAGTACAATCTATCTGTCTATAAACACACTATGCTAGTAATGATAGTTTTTAACACTAAAGTATTTTATGACTCATGTTCTCACTTTTTGTTATACTTCTTCAAAGTATCCTCGTATAGTAATAGTACTTTATTAGAATAATACTAATATAATGAAACGACTGATTCATTTCTAATGGATAATTTAAGAAGTCGACAAGAAAATAAATAATAACATAAATACCCATCACCAGATAGAAGAAAATTATTTCGACATTTCCACTTTAAAGCAGAGTTTTAAGGCATATACAATTTTTTCGAGTTTGACCACGGAGTGATGTCAGTTAGAGGACCATTGAAAACCGGGGAGCAGTAGACAGCAGTCTCATCCTAGTCTGGAAGTCAGCGGTAGTACGCATCCAGTGGGGTTTGGGCCCAGAAGCGAAGAGATTTCACTCAACTGAACTTATATTAGCGAAGTCACCGTACCTTTTGGTCTTCAAAACTCTAAATATCTCTCCCATGGCTGTCTAAACGAAATAGATACTGAATTGAAAATCATCATTCAATCTTGAGGTAAAGTATATCAGTTCATGCTGTCACAATTTTGGTAGACGACACAACTAATTAGAGATAGGCTATGATGAAGCTGTCACGAATAAAGATGTACATGTAAGAAGAACTATGTGAAGACTAGAGAACATTGCTGGAATCTCGATAAAGATGAAGAGTCAATCCATCTTTACCACTGTAGACAATTTTAAAACACAATATATCAGTCTTAAATCAATGATTATTAGCAGCCTGATGATGCTAATCAGACTGCCTTCCTCTATGGTTCAAACAAAATGGTGAAATTCCCTACCGATTATGTCCATGTTTCTGCCTGGTCTATATCAAAACTTGTTGAAGTTCAGCTGACATCATTGATGAAAAGAGTAGGTCAATAAACATGTGTAATATATGTTCTGGATATCTCCATCCATACTGAAAGTTTGAAGAAGGAGATTTCGTATACATATGTTGAAGAAAATTACTGGATCATCCCACCTTAAACATTTTTAGTAACCTTGCTTTTGTGACAATTCCATCCCAAACTCTTCTTATTCATTTCGATACTTTTGTATTTCTGTTTATTTCTTCTTTCTATGCTTCCTTGGTGTGGCAACTTGAAATAAGACACCCGTTAACTGCTTTATGCTTCCCTATCGGTGAGCCAAAAAGAGGACCTTAGAATAAACTGATCTCGAAGATATGATTTATGTTTTGTTTCTCACAAACTTTAGGATATTCAAGCAAAAACCGGCTAATTGGCGGAAAACTCAAAGCAGGCAAAACTTCAGGTAAGCATCGAGAAGACAAAAGCAATGAAGATGCTCAATAGAAAACAATAGACTCCAATCATAATCAGTGAGATAAATATTAAGGACTTCGTTTCTTTCACCTACTTGGCCTAGGCGGCATAGTTTTAACTACAGCAAACACAGATGGCCATGTCAAAGCCAGCCAGGATCGTGAAGGCACGACGGCAGCTCATTACTTGGAAATCATTGAGGAGATCCATAGCTTGTTGCACAAGGAATAAAACCCTAATCTTTAACAATAAGGTCAAGTCACTGCCCCTGTGTGATACACAGGCTTGAGCCGAGCGCGTCAGTGAAACCATTCCCAAACCAATTTTGACAACCATTAACTCAAATTTAATCTCGCCCACTGTAAAAATGTTCATCGGTGGGAGAAAATGCAAACAAATGTTGATATTTCTATTCATAGACATGATCTCTATCTCATTTCAATAATTAATTCATCTTAAGAACCATATTATTTACAATATGAATGAACAATGCGTTCATTTAAATTTTAAGTGTTTAAGCTGCTGTCTTATCCATCCAAATCATGGTGGTTAGAAGTATCACTGTCGTGAATATTTATGGAAAATGAAAATTTCTTAATCCAGCTAACATAAGTCATGGCACTAGAGTCAAAAACTCCTAGCTTACTTTGAGATGACACAGAACTTATCAGCAAATTACCATAAATTAAACTGTGTCACATCCACGATATAGTAACGTCTTGTTACTGTTGCGCTTGGCTGTTATACATATATATATTTACATATATATATATATATATATATATATATATATATATATATATACTAGGATGACTCGCTTAGCAAAACACTGTTGATACAGTTATTTTGTTTTTTCATAGTTTTAAATTTTCTGGGCGCAAAGACCTCACAGTATCTTGAGATGTGACTTTAATATATTTAGTTTTAGCTGGACAATTACCGTAATATCTACAGTATTGTGACTGATACAAATTCATCTGAAATATTTGTTGTCTTTTGATTTGTATTCCGCGAACTTTAGTGTTGTAGTGAAAAATTAGTCGGATATCGAGATGTATGTACTTCTTTAATTATTCCGAGCATTACTGATCATAATAATCTCTGGATATTTATTCTTTTCCTCTCTAAATTTTCATTTGTTTACCAGCACATTCTTGTAAATTGGTGATATTTTCTGAAACTCAGGATAATTTAATCATACACTAATCTGACATAATGGAAAACCTGACTAGTGTAGTTTTCATATAATGAGTGAACAACTCGGTCTAACAGTAAGTCGAAGAAGCAGAAGTCAAAAGCAAATCTAGAAATAATGCGTAAACTGGATGATATGAAGTACCCCAATTCCTCTTATATTAAAAAAATGCTGAAAAGTGAGAAACATTGGACAAAAGTGCACAAGTTGGGAATGAACATATTTTCAGATATCATGCAAACAGGAGATAATTAGCCATAAAAACTACTATACTTGACAAATGACAATATATGACGGGGAAACCAAGAACAAACGTAAATCATTTGCCTTAAACCATGCGACTAACAACAGAGGCATGAGACTCTAACTGTTGATAATATTTAACAACGGTGAGGGCTGTTATTAAAGCAAAGTCAATCCCGTGCATGGAGTTGATTCTGTCATTAAAATCAGTCGTACCTAAAGTAGCATTTTTGCAACAGAAATCATAGCTGTAAAATATTTAACCTACATGAGAAACAGCCAAGTCACTTTGTATAATTCAGTTTATTGGCTTATAATTTAAGTTATAAGTTATGAGGAGGTTAAATTATTTTATAGGAGTCAGTCGGTTAGGTAGACACTCGGCAATCGGATAAAATGAAAATAATATTTGTGTGAATGAGCTTTGTGGCTTACACAATACTTCCAGAATCAGATGTAATCCTCTACATTTTCCCATGGGTAATTGTTTTGATCAGCGTAAGTCCCTTAAAAGAAAACATCTGGTTTAAGGGGAAGTAATAGTAGCCTAATATTAGGCCACGTTTCCGTCTGTTCCCTTATATACAATACTACGCAGCAAACAATAATGCGCATAATAATAACAGTTGAAAATGTAGATTAATCTAACATTTTAACGGTAGTCAACTTTCTATGAACGTACTATGAAGTAAAATATGAATGGCAGAGGAATTTCGCACTCAACTAGGCATTTTAAAAATATGTAAAATATCTAAACTTTTATAAACAACTTTTATTGTATAACTGTCTTTTTACTACCGATAGCAATAAGAAAAGAGAAATTTACCTTGAGATACGAATATTCTCAAAATTCGGAAGAGTTCATGCTGCACGCTAGCATTAGCTTCAATAAGCTCACAACATATAGTCGCATTTTCTACCAAATTATTACTCTGAACCATGAGTCAAAATTGGTAGTCGTTACCTTTGATTCATTTGCCCAACTTTTCAACCTGTCATAAATACGAAAACTCGGTTCTATTTGAGAGTTAATTAGATCTCGAGCCATGAACGCCGAAAACTGATAAGCAAATATTAAAATTCCACAAACTTAACAGCTGGCTGTTTGAAAAATACAAACAAAGTGACGCATTCTGTTTATCAGTCCTGTCTTTATAATCAAGTTAAAAAATCAAAAGAAAAATTCTGGTTCATGATAATGCAAATGATAAGATTTCTTGCAAATAAACTTAAGGAGTATCTCAAGAAATTCTTTGTTTGTCATTAAGTCGAATCCAAATAGGAACTCAAGTAACGTGTCTCCTTAATCCGTAAATCTTGATCCTCTGAGGAAAAAGAGTGGGGAAACAGCCTTATAACCACCAAATTAGGTTATTCAGTATTGATTAAACGAACAAAACACAACTTATCACAACGAAAGTTGAAACAACTCTCCTGGACATATGGCTGTTACGCTGAACATACCTTCTGCACAGACTGAGTATCTGCATGATCCTCCCATGTGAAAGCACGGTTAGCCGTGCGATTTATTCAACAACAAAAGACTAGGTCTAATATAGTTACTGTAAGCCTCCTTGAAAGCATTATTGAAGACGTTTCGTTAGTCAATAATGACCACTCCTTGAACTTGTGTTATGTGGTGTTAGGAACGCTTTGAAGGCTAAAAGTCTGTCTCGTATTCTCATTGTATGATCTTACATTCCATAAATAGGTCACTGAAGTTACGAAACACGCAGTGTGTGCAAAACTAGTACACAAGACGTTACGGTACCAGTACTCATGAGTCCATTCGTCCTTACACCTTTGACACCAGTCACTGGAGTAATGAGTAAACCTGCACTTGATGGAAGGTAACATGGCTAGTGAACAACTTCCTCGCCATTTTTTCTGTCATTTGGTCATCATCTTCCTAGTTGATATGAGGGTTTTACCTACATCCCTACAACTAAGTGCGACCAAGCGTTATTCTGTCACCATTTACAGTAAAGGATTTCCCAACCTTAGCATTCGACCTCTCCTTTCCCTCGTCTGAGTTTCGTCGTAGACGATGTGCCCACTGGAATTAATTGCATGAATCATCTATGTCACTCTGAGGTGGGAGTAGATGTGAGCAGGCATAGTGTGATGGATTCTACCACACAACTGTGTCTTTGGGATCTGCACACACAACCCTTTTCTCAGCTCACTGTATCCGACCCTCGGTAATTCAATTCCTTGAGGTGACATAATCCGATCTTTTCCGGATACTTTCAAATCCACTCATGGTACCAATTGGTTCATCTCTGAAGTGTCACATCGCATCACAGCGACTAGTCCTTATGCATTCGCTAATCTACGGTGGTTAATAACAGAAAATCTCCCGGCCACCAATGCAAAGATTGAACCTTGGCACGAAATGGAGATAATCGGACCATCCAAAATGCAGTGGTGAAGACCACTGCATCTGATACTTAGAAACAGTGGCACGCACTGTGGGTTCTATGGGGAATATCTAGGGCACAGATTCCAAACAGCCCAGATCTTTAACCAGTTTCGCACATGTCTGGTATGAATGTGTCTATATTCGGTGAACTTTGTGTGACATGTGTCTGACACAGGATCTCAGCTCGCTCTGATGATATTCCGGAGACGCCAGTCATTACACACTTCTATCTTTCCCAGTTTCAACACATACCCATTAGTCTACATGGCCCCGAGTGGATATTCCAGAGTATCACTTATGACGTCTTGTATGGAATACATTACGCTTATGCATACCTGGACGACAATCAGATGGCTAGCCCAGATAAAGAAACTCATCGTAACCACCATCAAAACATTTTCTAACAACTTTGAAATATTCCCAAACACCCAATCCAGTCAAGGGTCAGATCGGCATCCAACCCCTAACTTTCCTGGGACAAGTGATTGGTGGACGCTGAAACTGTCTTAACTGAAAAGGTAAGGGCGACTGAAAATTTTCATATGCCAGTGTTCTTGAAGCTTTTGCGGATATTTTCGGTACGATAAGTTGTTACCATCATCTGTTCAGTCAAACCATAGCCCAGGCGACGCAGACTTTTCAAAAGTAGGTTAACACACTCCGAAATGGCACACCCAGAGCTGGTATACTTGGAGGACATCGCTCCTGGAAGTGCTGAGGGGATATGTGAGCGGCTTAGTACCCACTTTGCCAAACCGTGAACTGTAGAGAGCTGCCAAGGTATGGATTTCATTTGTATAATAGGCAGAAGTTTGGGTGGCATGGTTTTCACCACTTAATAAGTCGTTACAGCTATTTCAACGATCAAGCTGAGTAATACTCCTGGTCCGGACGGTACACCATCCATCCTACTAAAGGACGGTGGTAATGACATGAATTTGCTTCTCCTTAAGCTATGACCAACTTAACCAAATGATAAAACATACCTCACTTGCTGGAAGATGTTTTATATCGCACCCACTCACCAATACAAGCCTAGAGCTTATATTCATAACTGTCGTCCCGTCAGCGTCACATCTGTGGTTTCATGTGTAACGGAAAAGATTATGGAGACTAATATTGTTCGATGTTCGCTCCCTGCTGATCTAATATTCCCATTTAAATACAATTACTCAAGTAGAAGTTCGTGCATAATTTCCCAGTTAGATGATTGTGAGTACATAGCACAATGCGCGAATAATGAGCATTCAGTAGTGGCATAACTCCTATATGTAAGCGGAGCTTTTGATGAAGTTCCATATGTCAAACTCTTAATGAAACTCCCATCCTGCTGAATATCTGGAAAGCTTCTAAAGTGGAAAATTTGTTCTCCCACAAGAACAGAACAGTCAGTGGAGATCGATCACCAGTTACTTACACCTATACAAACAAATAGCAGAATGGCAACTAGCCCTACATCATGGCTCTTGTCAATGGAGTTGAAGATTGAACGATCAATTCTTGGTTGTTTGCTCAAAATCAACTTCCCCGATTTTCGCGGAGGCATCAATACGACAGTCATCGTCTCATCGGTCGCTGTTCAGAAAGAAGAGTGAAACATCGTCAGAAGTAATATAACGATTTATTATTGTAATATTTGTTTACAGACCTTAGTTCGCTTATTCCTTTTATATGTTGGTGTAACAATACAGAAATATCAAACGGCAGATCGGTGTTTTGGTTTTTGCGTCCGTTATAACTAAGCGTTTCTGAGAAATCTTCGAAGAACAGCGTGGGCCCGAGCGTAGCGAGAGCTGGGCATTAACGGTTTATGAGACGTGATTGACAGTTTCTGACGATAGAAACAGATCTGGCGGATTGAAACAGTTGGTGAAAGTTTGGATAGTCGCCGTTCATTTTCCTGGTGCCGGTCAAGTCCTCTTTGAACAAGCAATATCTGGAACTTTTTGGAATTGGGTCAAGTTCAACAATGCCTGGGTCAAAGAAGGGACAGAGTGTCTTGGATGCAAACAGGAAAGTAAGTCATGGTGACTTGTCTGTTAATTGTAACGATGTGTCTGATGTTAAGCATGACATGGTTGATGTTACTGTTTCGCCGTTCAGGGATAATAGGAACATCAAACTCCCTAAATTTGAACCACGGTGTTTTGATGGAAACCCGGCTGATTATTTACAATTTGTAAAGGAGTTTGAGATCATGTTGAGTGGTTTTTTATTAAATGATGAATTGAAGTTAATGTATTTGATGAGATATTGCACTGGAGATGCTGCAAGAGCTATACAGTGCTGTAAGTTTATGAAGCCAAAGGAGGGCTACGAAGAGGCTATGAGCATATTACGCCAAAGGTTTGGAAGACCCTCGATGATTGCAGGGAAATTATTCGAGGCTGTTGAGGGTAATGGTGGTCAGTTACAGGATGACTCCCAGGCACTCACTGAGTTTTTAGATAATTTGCTAATTTACAAGAATGGAATGATTTCGATGAATCGAATGAGTGACCTCAACTCGAGTTTTATACTAGAAGTAATAGCAAGACGTCTACCTACTCGACTGCAAAGGAAGTGGGTGAAGATAAGCTCCCGTATGGAGGATGAGGGTATCGAGCCAAAGTTTGATGATATCCTGAAACTGGTAAATACTAGTGTCAATCAATCTATGAGCAAGTTTTCCAGTCTGTTAGATCTCACCCCTAGAATAGAGCAGTCTGAGGGTAAAACGCACTCATTGATGACGAATAAGCCTCAGAGAGGTGGATATCGAGAAGACTCCATGATGTCTAGTAATGCATATAGACCTAGTGAGTGTAACAGGTTTCGTAGTACATCCTCAACAGATAAGTTACAAGATGCAAGACAAACACGGCTTTGTTTTACACGTGTGCAAGAGGTGCATACAGAAGTGAACTGTGAACCAGTGAGCAAGTTCAGTGATAAGCTAAATGTAAACTCCAGGTCTGACTCCGAATTGTGTGACGATAACGTTGTTGTGAAGAAGTCTGTAGTTGCAACTGGTAAGCCGTTGTTGAATAGAGTGTCACAGAATAGAGTTACTGCTTCAGAGTGGAGTTCTGACTCCAAAAGTTTACAAAGTATAACTAGTCAGAGTGAAGATATAAAACCTTTAATGATTTGTGAGGAGGAACCAAAATTGTCTACTTCTGTTATTAAAGAGTTTGAAAATGATGAACTTGACGGTAAATTGAATATTTGTGATAATGATCATGATAGTGCAGATTTGTCTTTGGTTGATCATGATGAAATGGAGGGAATGCCTACTACTGCTAAGTTAAATAAAGGTTCTGTACAACTTGAACGTGAAGTAGAATTGAATGCAGTTGCAGAAGGCATGCATACTTGTCAAACCGTCAGTGTAATTGATCAGAGTGAAGCCCACCTATCATCAGATGCTAGTGTTAAACCTGAGCTGATAGTAAAAGACAGCAGTGGTGGTGGTCTTGCAGGTAGACAAATTTCTGAAAAGCGAGCAACAACAGCTTTTGATCCACTGCTAAGTTCATCAACTGATATCAATCAGTCGTCGTTGGTGCTGTCATCCACAATGAAACAGACACCCATCAACTCAAGTATCTTGTGCAATGACTATGCTAGTATCAGTTCGTTTGAAA